ATGGATCACGAATTTGAGTCGCGGAAGCAGTCATTAATACTTACATTAGGGTAGACTATTTACATTACACCTTAGGAGTGCGGTCCTTCCCCAAATCCTTCGTGAATGCAGGACACTTTATACATTAAGCTGTCTTTTCTTTAAAAATAATTTATAACCACACATATAAGATGATATATGACCATGCAAATGTTTATGTTTCTGATAGCAACAACAACAACAACAACAATAAATGCAGTATAATCTCCCTCACTGAGCAAAGTCTTTCTCATAGCAAGTTTCAATAATTTTCTTTCTTAAATTTCGAAATGCATCAAATACGGTCACATAAAATGGTGGTGAGAATCTATATCCGTACTTGTAGAGATACAGATGCCCTTTTTTCTCAGCTCTGCACATCCAAAGATAGACAGGGAGTAGGCCATCTAAAAAGAAAGTGAATCCCAAACACCACTACAAAAACCAAGACCCTTTTTTCCAGAAAAAAAGAAAAACAGATTTCAAGAACAAATAATATAGAATCTCAGCCCTTCATATCCCTTCCTGATATCTCAAGCAAAAACAAAAAAAACCCTTCAAGCTGAAATCTTTTCTCTCAATATCTTCTTCAAAAGAGCAAAAAGAATAGCCATGTTATAATATTTCAAGAATCTCCCACAAATGGGCTTACACAAAAAACCCTGTTGCATTTTGTCTCTTTTCTTGGTCATTCTTGCAATTCTCAAGCTCATTCCACTAGCTGAATCTGCATCTGAAAACACTAACTTAGTGTACAAAGGCTGTGCAAAACAAGCATTATCAGATCCATCTGGTGTTTACTCACAAGCACTTTCAACTCTTTTTGGTTCACTTGTTTCACAATCCTCAAAGTCAAAATTTTACAAAACTACTACAGGCAGTAGCCAAACAACAATTACTGGTCTTTTCCAATGTAGAGGTGACCTCTCAAATGTTGAGTGTTATAACTGTGTTAGTGGTTTGCCAATACTTATAGACAAACTCTGTGGCACTCCAGTTGCAGCAAGAATCCAGCTTTTAGGTTGTTATATGCTATATGAGGTTTCTGGTTTTCCTCAAATATCAGGAATGGAAATGTTGTATAAAACTTGTAGTGGGAAAAATGCACAAGGGAGTGGATTTGAAGAGAAAAGAGACACTGCTTTTTCTTCATTGGAAAATGGGATGGCTAGTGCTACCAATGGATTTTATACAACTAGTTATGAGTCTGTTTTTGTTGTGGGACAATGTGAAGGGGATGTAGGCTCATCTGATTGTGTTGAGTGTGTTAAAAGTGCTGTCCAAAAAACTCAAGTTGAATGTGGTAGCTCAGTTTCTGGTCAAATTTTCCTACACAAGTGCTTTGTTAGTTTTAGTTATTATCCAAATGGGGCTCCTAAAAAATCATCATCTTCTTCATATTGGTCTCCATCTCCTTCTTCAGGTATTTTCTTGAATTAATTGATTTCTTGAATTTGTTTATTCAATTAGATTTACAATGGTTTCTACTAGTTTTTTTGGCAAATGTTAACATCCTAATCTAGATTTTTGTCTTTCTTGGACTTTTGAGCTGTCTATCTCATTAATTAGTTTGTACATATTACTTAAAAAAGACTCTTAGAATAAATAAAGGGTGCATGATAAATTGATTTAATAATATGTCACTGGTAACAAGGCGTTTGTCTACCTTAGATTTGTGTGCTTATCACTTAGGGGTCGTTTGGTATACGAGGACAAAAATATTCCAGAATTAAAATCTTGTAATTATAATTTTTGGACTAATTTATCCCACCGCCTAGGTGGGAAAAAATAATTCCAAGTTTGAAAAGCTAAGGAGTAAGGCGAGATATCCGGGATTAAGTTTGAAATTAAATTTATATTATGTTTGGTCGGTATAAATTTAATCTCAAATCTTATCCCACTTTATCTTGCGTATCAAACGACTCTTACAGATTTGTTATCTATAGTTTTATAGTATTGAGAGTTGTATTTAATGAATGTAGGGACAGGCCAAAATACAGGGAAAACAGTGGCTATAATACTAGGAGGAGCAGCAGGAGTTGGTTTTCTAGTCATTTGCTTGCTGTTTGCTAGGAACTTAACGAAGAAACATGATGGTAAGTACTTAAACTAAAGTGTGTTTGTTATGAAGAAAGTATTTTTTGGAATTCTAAAATAAATTTGTCTCACTTTCCAAAATACAGAAACTATTTCAAGAAAGTCATTTTCCCATTTTAATGAAAATAATTTTTGGTGTTTGGTTGCTACAAAAAGCTTAATTTTTTGGAGAATGTTTTCCGTCATACCAAACGCACCCCTAGTGATAGTAATTCTCTTTTATGGTTTAAATTTTGCAACTTGCTTATGTTGGTATATTATGATTTAAATATTTGCTGCAGATTATTGAAGTTGAAGGGATCAGCTGTGTATTATAAAGGCTGCCAAAAGCTTTTTCTGAGGTGGATTCTTTCCTTGATTAGATTTTCTTCCTAGAAGAAAAAGAATTTTTCTTTTCTGGAAAAAAAAAAGTGAGTGAATTTGTGAGCTGTAATTCTTGGAATTATTATTATTAGGTTAAAGAGAGAAACAAAAAACCATTGAGCAGAGAGTATTTTTTGGGGTGATGAAATTGAGATGAATGGGACATAAATTTTTTGGTGAAATGATGTAACAATACATGTTTTGTCAACTGTGAAAAAGATTACTAATGGTTTTGGCCTTTTTCTCCAATTGCCATGTGCCTTGTTGTCTTTTTTTCTCTTTGTCTAGAATAGTGGTTCACCATTTTCTTTTAAAGTTTTATGCTTTTCAGAAAGTTCTCTCTCTGTATTTCTACTTATTTAATGCATGAATTAAAAATTAATATATGTACTTGGGTCAATATCCAAGAATAACATTGTGGTTTTAGCATCTTCAGCAGTTCACTGAAAATGTTTTACCTCAAACTTTATATGGAGATGGCAGGGAAGTTTAGTAGGCGTTTGGACATCAAAATTGTAATTTTTTTTAAAAGTAATTTTTGGAGTCAAGTTGAAAAATAGTAGTTGAATTTGAAATTATGTTTGCACATGAATTTTACAAGAAAAAATGTTGCAGTTTTGTGAGTAGGGAAAAAGTTTTTTCTGAAAATTTTGAAAAATTTATTTTCAAAAAATTTCCAAATACTTAGCAAAATTTTATGGACAAACACATTTTTGAAAAAAAATAATGATTTTTTTAATGGACAAAGGTCCTTAGAATAAATTTTGCTTGAGAAAGTAAGTATTGGAAGAATGGAATAATTCATTTGGTGCTAACATAGATGATGCTGTTTCAGGATTTAAACTTTGGAAAATGGCTAAAAATACCCTTGAACTATTTGAAATAGTTCAAAAATACCTTCCGTTTGTTTTTGGTACCAAAAATATCCATGATATCTATATTTTGGACCACAAATGTCCCTTAAACCGCTAGTCTTGCAATTGAAGCTGACATGACAGTCCAACTCTGGATTAGATTTGTTTACGTGACCATCCACCTAAGTAATCCAGCATGGCAAAATTATTTTTTCGAAAAAATTAATTTTTCGAATTTTTTTATTAAAATACAAAATCAACACTTATTCCGAAAAAGTAAAAACTTTCTGAAAAATTATTTATTTCGGATTTTTTTTATTAAAATACAAAATCAAACACTTATTCCGAAAAAAGTAAAAAAATTTCGGAAAAATTATTTTTGATTGGGGTTTATGATTTAATTAAAAAACTCCAATGTTCTCTTTTGTGAATTTATGATTAGTTTGATCTAAATTTTTAGATGCTTATCTGTTATAGTTTCACAAAAGGTACACCTCTGGTGTAAGTATCAATTGGTTCATCTGAAGGTCTTATAATTTTTCCGGAAATCTTTTACTTTTTTCGGAATAAGTGTTGATTTTGTGTTTTAATAAAAAATTCCGAAATAAATAATTTTTTTCGGAATTTTTTTTACTTTTTTCGGAATAAATGTTGATTTTGTATTTTAATAAAAATTTTCGAAAAATAATTTTGCCATGCTAGTTTGCTTAGGTGAATGTCCATGTAAGCAAATCTAACCCAGTTGGACTGCCATGTCAGCTTCAATTGCAACACTAACGGTTTAAGGGGCATTTGTGGTCCAAAACATAGACGACAACGATATTTTTGGTACCAAAAACAAACGGAAGGTATTTTTGAGCTATTTCAAATAGTTCAAGGGCATTTTTGGCCTTTTCCGTTTAAACTTTATGAATTCGAGTTTTGAGATTCTCTCATAACTCATTTGATTTTGTGAGTTCAGAATCAAATATATATACTTATTGTAACAATTTTTTTTAAAGAGACTGTTATTAGTTACTTGCTGATTATCTGTCACATGTCTAGTAAACCAAGGCTAGAAGATCGGGATTCCCCCGACCCTTAAGATCGACTAACTCATGTGCAAATGCCTATCACATTGAATTATCCGAGAAGCGTTCCATGCATTTTGAAAATTCAGATACATGAAAAAGGTTATGTAGTTTTTGTTTGGACTTCTAAACTTCAAAATCACTACACTTTTAATTATTGATCTTCAACTCTTGATGTCACCCCTTTTTCAGTATACCGTCACAATAAAAGAATCTTCTTTTCCCCAGAACTGACCTATCCTTTTCTTGTTTATGACTTCTTTATGTACCTTTCTCCTTAGATACTGAACAGCATATAACTTCTCATATGGAGTTGGAATCATTAGGAACTAGATGGGGTTTTGGTTTAGATCTATGTATTAGCTATGCCTTAATAGTATGTAAGATTTTAGTTGGGGGAAGAAGAGTTGAGGCAATGACTAAAAGAGAGATCTGAATTTAGTCACGAAAATTTTACCCAGCAACAACAATAACCCAGTGAAATCCCACAAGTGGGGTCTGGGGAGGGTAGTGTGTAGTCAGACCTTAACCCTACTCCGGAGGAGTAGAGAGGCTATTTCCGATAGACCTCGGCACAAGAAGATGGAACGAGACAGTGTAGCAGTAACAACAAAAGTGAAATTTTTATCCAACAAAATGAAAATTATCTCAAGTCTCAACTCATCAGGGAAGTAAAAACAAACAGATAGACGATAAAGCAGTGTCCACTGTCCACTTTACTTCAAGGGCTAACACAGTCAAGAATCATAGAAATTGAAGCTTCATAGTAATTCTGCAGAATTGGCAACTTCTTAAGTGACTAAAATCTCCCAAGAACAGAGTGGAAACTCCAGCTTCCTTCCTTAACCTCATGGTTTTCACTTTTCACCAACCAATTCATTTTTTGGGTTCGAACCTTTTGAGAAACTGGTGTTCAGCACCTTGACCTTCACCCGCCTTTTGGCGCCACTGGCAAACTCATGCTTACTCATCCTTCTATCCAGACATTGCTTCAAGCCTTCAACAACACAATACAATACAATAGTATATACAGTATAAAACAACAGATTATGAGACGACGAGAAATATCAACCCAAACATGCAGTAAAAAGATAATTACCTCAACTTGCAGCCTGTAATCAAATCCCTTCTTTTATGTCGACTCTTGGGATGTGAGCAATCTTAGGCCAGTCCTCTCCTCCTTCCTTCTCGCATCTTTGCTTCAGACTTGATGAACATCTTGTAACAATTAGCATTTCCAATGCTGAGAGAGATCGCAGGCCTTCTGGAAAGGATGTCAACATAGGTGAAACATCAATTTCCAATCGATTAAGGGCAATGAGGTCGCCTATCCATTCTGGTATTGTTGTGAAGTTAGGACATCCCCGAATCACTATAAACTTCAAAGTACCCGAGAAATGTTGGAGCCAAACTGGAAGCGACATTAGCTTGTCAAGCATGTTAACACTGAAAGTCAATAAATTCCCCGGGACATCAAATTGCATTGCTTCTTTGTTCGACAAATCAAGCAGAGGGCAATTCTCAATACATAAAAACTCGAGGGAAGTGAGATGAGTTAGACATGTGGATAGAGAGACCAGATTTCTGCAGTTACTAATAAACAAGGATTGGAGCGAAGTGAGACACTTGAACGAATCCTCTGGCATAGTTGCTAGGCCCTCGATAGAAAATAGACTCAAGCTATTTACATTGAAAAGAGGAGAAGGATGAGGAGGTGGGCAAAGAATTTGTTTCAATATCTTCTCACTTATTATCCCCAAATAAAGTTGTTTTAGGGAAGGGAAGTAGCACTCATATGTAGGAGAATTTGATGGTAGCATGAATTTATCATCACCACCTTCTATGCTCTCCACGACGTCAAGATTCCAATGGAGTACAAGATCTTCGAGAGAAGGCAGTCGCCATAATGGTGGGAGCTTTTGGCATTTATGACAATCTCTGATGTTTAGATAAACAAGCTTGGGTAGCAAAAAGCCAAGATTATCAACCATCAACCAACTTGGGAAGCTTGATCCACTATAATTTTCTATTTGCAAGCTTTCAATGTTTTGGTGCGGCTGCAGGGCCTCCAACATTATCAGATCAGCTCCAGTATCATCCTCTTGATTTCCATATTCGAACTCTACAAACAGCTTCCGAAGATGTTTCATTCTTTTCACTACATCGGTAGGTATTCTTTCTCCAATTGCACGGGCTCGTCCCATGAACTTAATGTGTAATCTATTTCTGAGATCAGCAAGGCCCTTAAATTCATTCAACTTGTCACTTGCCAAACCAGATATACAACTTTCTTTGCCTACAACAAAACTTTTCAATGTCCGTAGAGATGTCAATTGGCCAATTCCAGGTGGCATATCTTCCAATGAACCGCAACCATCAAAATCCAAATGCGTTACACTTGCCAACTGCCACAGTCCTGGTGGAATATGGGTTAATGATTGGCACCACGAACATATCAAACTTCGAAGGCTCACCAATCTCCAAATATCTCTTGGCAATTTTTTGAGTTTAATGCAATTAACCAACTTTAAAACTTGTAGATTATGCAACTTCGTGATGGAATTTGGTAAAGTAACAATGCTTCTAGAGGAAATAGCAAGATATCTTAGATGCTTCAGTCCACCTAAAGATTGAGGCAGAATTTTTATCTGCAGGTGACATAGATGCAGAACGCGTAAACATTTAAAACTTGCAAGCATTCTCTCTAACGTTGAATTGCTCATAACACTGTATGGAGACCCATTTAGGTAAATAAATGTCCGCAACTTCATATGCTTCGCATAGAAGGGTTCGGGAAATTCCAATGAATCATTAATCTGGAATAAACAAGAAGCATGGAGCGCTTGTTCTGGGACAATCTCTGTATCATCTGTTTTAGTGATACAGAAGAGCTCTCTATCTGCAACTTCTTTTGCGAGATCATGAATAAGATCGTGCATTTTGTAACAATGCGGATAAAAATGATGCTCTTCAGTTTCTTGAAAGAATGACCTTCTTAACAAATCCACGAAATATGAATTTGCATCGTCTTCCACACTGTCTCTGTTGCTAGTAGTTGATTGAATAAAGCCTTGAGCGATCCACATATCAATCAAATCAACTCTGTCAATTCGGAAATCTTTTGGAAAGAGGGAACAGTATGCGAAGCATATCTTTAAATGGTGAGGAAGGTGATTATAGCTCAATATCAAAATGGCCATGACACTGTCATCTCCTCGTGTGATACTTGACAAATCTTGATTCTTGAAATATATCCACTCATCCTCCGTTCTTTTTAGGCGTAGTAGGCTTCCTATTGACCTTATTGCAAGAGGAACTCCTCCACACTTTTTCACAATTTCCTTTCCTATTTCCACCAAACTCGAATTTTCACTCTCTTTGGTACATTCGAACGCCATTTTTTCAAGCAATGCCCATGCCTCTTCTTTTGAGAGGTCCCCTAATTTATGTTGGCGAACACTACCTGAAACTTCCGCAACTACATTTGAACGAGTAGTTACTAAAATCTTACTTCCCTTGGCTCCACCGATCAACATATTTTTCAATCTCGACCATTTCAAGGCATCTTCGTTCCACACATCATCGAGCACCAGTAGATATTTCTTCCCATCAAGCATTTCTCGAAGCTGGTTTTGCACAGCATCTAGTTGAAGGTAATTAGCCTTCTCCCCTCCTGCAGATTCTACGATTTTTTCTGCAATCACTTTCACTTCAAAAACATCTGAAACACAAACCCACAATCTTTTATCAAATCTTTTCCGAACCATTTTCACTATTATACACCGATTGCGTGAGAGTGGTCTTTCCTAGTCCACCAAGGCCAACAACTGATATTACCGCAACATTCTCATTAACCTTAGAATCCATAAGAAAATCTAGAATTTCCCTTTTATTATCATTCCTTCCAATGACTTCTCCATCAGGCACAAATGAATAAGTCTCTCTATCCAAATTAGACTCAAGAAGCAATGGTTGCCTCCTTTCAACAAGGTTTAAGTAGGCCTTATCTTTTGCAATTACATCTAAATTTTCTCGAATGACCTTGAGACGCTTACTTATCTTAACATTATAAAGCACAGGATTTGACTTTGAGAAGAAGATGCTTACCTTACTCACCAATTTTCGATGCGTGACTTCAGTTGCAAAGTCATCCAAGAGATCATCAGCCTCAAAGAAAACTGTTTTAAGTTTCCTTAACCAATCCCTCACCTCATGGCTATTCCCCTGCTGCTCCTCCGCGTCAATTAGTACAGATTGGATTGAAGAAACTGTACCAGAAAGGTTGCTAAGCTCATCGCTTAGTCCTCGAATTGATCCTACTTCTTGAGCTGCAAGAGAAGCCAAGTTTTTCAAGATTTCAGCAGCAAGCCCGTAAAGAATTTCAGCCATGATGAGAAAGTAATATGATTTGAAGATCAACCACCTTTTTGTTGCAAACTAGTATTAGAAGCAGCCTTTACCTAACACAATATATTAAAGGGTTGATGAAGACCTTGACTTGGACCCCAACAATCATTGAACTCTAACAATAATTAAATCTTCTTTTATTATTATTGTACTTATACCTGTAGCACTTAACTTGCTTCATTTTCTAAGTTAGTAAGTTACTAATATGTAACTTATTACTGACAATTCCATGTAAATTTCTCTTTAATAGGTGAACCTATCATGAGGTGGTTAACTTCATGTACAAATTGATATCATCAGAAGCGCAACCAAGATTCGAAGTTCATAAGTTCTCAACTTGTCATCGAATACTGTTTGATTTTTTAAAAGATGGAGCAGCAAAAAAGATTAAAAGTATTGGTTGAAAATGTCTTTAAATAATTTTATTAAGCATAAAAAGGCTTTAAATAGCCAAATAGGAACAAAAAATTTCCATAATTTAAAATTCAAAAAACCTAAAATATCTCAACTAACTTAAACAACCTAATAGAAATTTAAAATAGAAATTCATCCTAAAACGAAGCAACTTATTATACTAAAAAAGTTACTGCAGTGATTGAAAAAAACAAAATTTCAACAAACACATAACTCATTTTAGTTATAGGGAATAACATTTATGGACTAATAGACAAACTTAGATAGAAACCAAATTAAAACTATACATTTTTTTTCCCCCACAAACATCAAGGTGGTGGAAATTGAAAAGCTGCAATAGCTATCTCAGCTCATCACAAAAGTAAAAATTTAAAACAGAAAATAAAGATAATAGCAACAAAAAAAAAGAGTGTAATAAAACAGTGTCCACTTTACTTCAAGGGCTAACACAATCAATCAATAATCATAGAAATTGAAGCTTCAGAGTAGTAATTGGTGGATGTTTCCTTACAACAGAGTGGGAACTCCAATTTCCTTTCTTAATCTCATGGTTTTCGCCAATTAATTCAGTTTTTGGAGTCGATCCTTTTGAGAAAATGGGTTCAGCACCTTGACTTTGACCCACCTTGTTCTGCAATTTTGCAAATTCACTTGTTCAAATATCTATCAGACCAGACATATCTCTGCACTTTGCTTTATGTAGATGTTATATGGGTTTGTTTTGTTTTTGATGATTTAGCCGGGGGAAGAAGAGTTTGAGGAAATGACCAAAAGAGAGATCTGAATTTAGTCATAAGATAGGTTCATTTATTTTCAAGTGATTGGAGCTAAAACTTTGTGATGGTGGGATATATTTGCGCCATTATATTTTCATACTTCACTACTAATAAGTTATACGACCCCTTTCATGTACTCTTATTTGGTAGCCCATTTAATTTGTACCTATTTTTTAAATTTTTTTAACTACCGTTAAATATATCTATAACAACATCTTTATATAATAACCATTCACTATAAAAGTCAAGTTTCTTCGAAACTGCTTTTTTAGGTTATATTTTAACTCTCTATAACAATATTTTACCTATAACATCAACAATCATATTTATAGCAGAACACTCTTTGTAAAATTACCTCTTTATAATAGCTATATAGAATCTTTAATATTACTAATAATAATTCTAAAAATATGCATACAATTTTTTGCATTAAATAAAGTTTCCTTCCTGCATAAGATATAATATTTGAAGATTTGCACATGATGTCTTTTCCATTGGACAAAATTCAAAAACTATTTAGATAGAATATTTAACTGTTAAGTTCTTAGATTGTATTCAAGGGAAAGTTATTAGATACCTTTTTTGCTGAAAATTTGGACACGAATCTTCGCCAATTCAAGCGTTATATCGCTAGTAAGAGAATAAAATCTACGAAACAAGCTACAATTACAAACTTTTTCCATCAATCTTGAAGAAAATTATTTTCTTAGGTAGCTTTAAAATATTTGCCTAAGAGTTTAAATCTTTACACTTTCAGTTATGAATTTATTAATAATATATTAGCTTTATTCAATATTTAACTAGTGAAATATGCATGTCTTTTGAGATTTTAAATTTGAATAATTTTCTTATCTTTTTATACGTAACATTCAAGAAGGAAAAATAATTGAATTTTGGTTAAGTTTTATCTATAACAATCAAAAAATATTTAAACGTCAAATGCTTATAGGTGTATAATAGCTATTCACTATAAAAGTCAAAAAATATCGGAACAAACGAGACTATTATAGAGAGGATTGACTGTAGTACCCAAAGTTTAAACAACTTCACGCATTTTTCTCCTCTTTCTTCTTCTTCGGGTGAAAGATATTTTATATGGTGTTTGTGAATATATTTTAAGGTAGTTTATAATGTTTTACAGTGGTGAGCTGCCGTAACTCTTTATTTCTTTTACTATTGTTTAGGGTTTCTTCTTATTCTTTTTCTTAATTGCAAAATAGGTTCATTCGATTTATTGTTGTTTTGACAAATTGATGATTGGGGTTTGTTCTTGATGATATTTGGAGGTTATGTTTCAAATTTGAGTTTATTTGGAGTAGATTTAGGTGTTAAATCGTATATTAGATTGTTAAAATTCGATGAATAAATTTCTATTTCTCGGTAATTTGCACTTTAGGCCTATTTGGCCTTAAGTACATGAAAACATTGGTTGTATTTCAGACCTATTTGGTCTTAAGTGTATCTGAAGTAAAAAAATTTCACTTCAAACTTATTGATCTTAAGTGCATGATACCATTGGTTGCATTTTAGACCTATTTGGCTTTAAGTGCATCTTAAGTGCAATTTTTTCACTTAAGACTTCTTGGCCTTAAGTGCATAAAACCGCTGGTTGCACTTCAGACCTATTAGCCTTAAGTGCATCTGAAGTGCTATTTTTTCACTTCAGACCTCTCTCACCTTAAGTGCATGAAAATATTTATTACATTTCAAACCTATTTGGCCTTAAGTGCATCTTAAGTGCAATTTTTACACTTTAGGCTTAATTGGCCTTAAGTGCATTGCACTTCAAACTATTTTTTTAACTTCAAACCCGATAAATCTCAAGTTGATCGTAAAGTGGGTAGTCGTACAAATATTTTTATAAAGTAGTATAGCTTCAATTGTGATCCCAAAACTGGGTATAGATGCAAAAGACCCTTTCCTCTGAGATCGATAAAAATAATGTATAAGAAATCAGTAATATAAAATACAAAAATAAAAATTTACAGCGTTATTTTCTTCTATTCAATTTGTACTTGGCCATAGGAGATTATTTACTCTGTAATTGCGAATGAGATTTTTAAAATACAAAAATGATGACCTGAAACGCAATTTTTCTAAAATGCAAATATACGTTTTTTATGTCCCGCTAACAGATAATTCCTCAATTGCAATGCATTTTGACATTATTTATACTTTTTTTTTTATTTTTAACACGTTAACTTTTTCCAATGCAAAAAAAGAAAAAGAAAACAATGAGAAAAAAGCCTGTATTCTCCTCGTCTAAGGCCTTGTCTTAATAAACTGAAATTATCCTAAGATCTAATACTTATAATTTATTGAAGATTATGTGCGCTAATTATTTACCTTGCTAACCAATTGTGGGGTGCACTTAGGGGTGTTAATGGTTCGATTGGGCCAGTTATTTTATAAATTTTGTATCATACCAATTTTTCGGTTATTCTATTATGTATAATCAAAATTAGATTTTTCAAAATCGTCTCAATCATGTCGGTTTCTCTTCGGTATTAGTACGGTTCGGTAAATTTTCGATAATATTTTTAAATGTCATGTAAAAGTCATTAGTATAAGTAGAATGCAATAACATACGTACTTTTATAGGATTTTTAGTAAAACTCTCTAGATATTTTTACAGTTTAAAAGGTGATGAATTAAGAAAATATGAAAGATAACTCGAGTATAAATCCATCAAATATTCTAAGCAGCGTAAACGAAACTAAGCAAATACAAAGAAAATATAAATCACACGAGTGGAAAGATATTAACCAAGTTGGGATTCAAGAATATAGAAGATTAAACATTTCAAAAAGATAAATCTAATTCATACGAAAGAAAATATATTCAATACATTGTAGGTTGCTACTCATAATCGCTACAATACCTTATGTCTTGCTAGTGAATATCCTGAAAATAATTTAGTTTCAATAGAAGTAGCATAATAGGTTTGGGAATTACGATTTTGAGTTTAATTACTTGTTGGTTTGTAACTGTTTCATTATTCCAAGGCCCTAAACAAAATTTAATGCTTTATTATTTTTAAACTTAACATATAAATATATTTTTCGCATTGTAAATTTATTCGGTACGGTTCGGTATTTTTTCGGTTTATTTTCATAAAATAAAAACCTACCTTAATTATCAGTACAGTTATAGATTTATATAAAAATCTACGATTTTATTAAAAGAAACCTAAAAATCGGTTCGATACGGTATAATTCGGTAGGTTTAATCGGTTTTTAAATATCCACTAACACTTCGTGCACTATGATCATTCAGATTATTAAAAAGACCGTATTGTTTGTCCCCTTTCAACGTGGAGACAACTTATATTTTAAATTTGTCTCAATATGTTGGTGACATTCTTTAAAATAAGACTCTTAGCAGTACATTTTTTTAGGGATAATGTGTAAAATTCTCCACGACCTATAACCATACTATTAACTACACAATTTTTCTTTTCAAGGATCTTATTACCCCATAAACTATTTTAAAGTGTAATAAATACCACTCTAAGTGCTGATACGGCATAGAGAGTGCGCACTCTCTCTTAAGGGCAAGTGGAAGTTACATAAATAATTTTAAAATTGATTAACATGCACAAGTGTCATCTTTTGATTGGACATTACACAATTAATTACATCTAATTAATTAGTCTCCTTCGTCTTCTAAACCTCTTCTCGTACGAACAACGGGAACATCGTTTCAACGGCGAAATGCCCGAGTGAAAATCCAATACAACGTAAAATCAACCCAGAAATCAAAAGCAGATATGTTTGATAACAAAAACAGAGCTACAACTAGAGGGAGCAACGAGCATGATTCAGTGAAGAACCTACGAATAGTCAAAACGGTCAACAACAATGGAGTTTCGCTGGAGCAAGGCTCTTCGTCAGAGTTTCGTTCTCCGGCCAGATTTGTCAATATCAAACAAGTATTAAATAAAACCTATCAAAAACTCAGTTCACCGGAGAATAAAGATCTCGTCGTATACAGCAAGTCATGTTAAAAACAAAGATCAGGATGGACATTTAGCTTTTAACAAGTTCCGACCATTGAAATGAAAAATGGTTGAGAAATTAGGAAAGAGAAAAAAAGAATGCTTTAAGAAATACTTTATGTTAGACATATCGAAGTCCATGTCTAGCGAGATGGGCTGATACCATGAGTGGAAGGACTACAATTTTTTTGGTTTAATCATTAGTTGTCTTATTAGCAAAGTTACTAAATTTACAATTCATACTTAACAAAAAGCCATAATGCAAAGAAAAACTAGTGACGTCCAGATTGTCAATCTTTTGGAGTTAGAGCCGAGACGAGGCTTTTGCCTTTTGGCCGGATATGTTAACGAAGGATGCAAATAGGAAAATAAGGAAGAAGGAGAAAAAGGTGAAAAAAAGTTTTTAAGTAAGAAATACATATTTTAGGCGGGTGTATTTTACCACTTTGTACATATATGATTGTAGCTTTTTAAGGGGTAGATAATTTTACTTTAAAATAGTTCAGGGGGATAATAGGACCCCCGAAAAGAAAATGTGTGTAGTTGATAATATGATCATAGGTCGGGGAGAATTTTATGCATTATCCTTATTTTTTAAGAAAGACGACATACCTTAAGAAAATCATTTAATAGCAAGAAAGTAGGGGTTCGAATCTATCTCTTCGAAAAGATGGAACACCGTGAAGTCCACTCTCTTAACCTAGAGGAAATTTTTAATTTGGGATGAATTAAGGAATAGCGAGACAATGAGTGATAAACCTATAAAAGTGATAGCTATGGGTAAAAAGAGTCGTCCCGAATATATACCTGCACCGAAAGCAATTAAAAAAATAAAAAGATCGAAGCTTTGTTACTCGAATATCTTTCTTTAATTGAGTAATGTGATGCCTTCTTGGAGCAGGAACAGTGGAGTTGAAAAAAGATAAATAATGTTGTCTTGATTTTTAAAGTGACAAATATTTTGGACGAATATTTTTTACTAAAGTAACAGACGAAAAGGATGGGCAGAAAAAAACTGTAAAGGAAAATCAGATCTACACACAAATTTATCCAGAAACAAAATTAAACATATACATTATCACCTACAAACATCAAGGTGGGAACTAATTGAGAAGTTGCAAACAGAGAAATCAAGAAAACTCCTTAACTTCATGGTTTTCACTTTTCAAAATGGTGTTCAGCACCTTGACCTTCACCCGCCTTCCACTGGTAAACTCATGCTTACTCATCCTTCTATCCATACATTGCTTCGAGCCTTCAGCAGACAACAGCACAATACAATACAATGTTATATACAGTATAAAACAACACATTACGAGACGACGAGAAATATCAACCTAAACAGGCAATAAAAGAATAATTACCTGAACTTGCAGCGGATTATCAAATCTTAGTCTATCTCAACTCGTGGAATGTGAGCAATCTTAGGCCAGTCCTCTCCTACTTCTTTCTCGCATCTTTGCTTCAGACTTGATGAACATCTTGTAACAATTAGCACTTGCAATGCTGCGAGAGATCGCATGCCTTCTGGAAAGGATGTCAACATAGGTAAATCAATAATTTCCAACCGATTAAGGGCAATGAGGTCGCCTATCCATTCTGGAATTGTTGTGAAGTTATAACAGTCCCGAATCTCTATTGATTTCAAAGTACCCGAGAAATGTTGGAGCCAAACTGGTAGCGACATTAGCTTGTCAAGAGTGCTAACTTTGAAAGTTGATAAATTCCCCCGGACTTCAAATTGCATTGCTTCTTCTTTCGACAAATCAAGCAGAGGGCAATTCATTATACATAAAGACTCAAGGGAAGTGAGATGAGTTAGACATCTGGATAGAGAGACCAGATTTCTGCAGTTAATAATTAACAAGGATTGGAGCGAAGTGAGACACTTGAACGAATCCTCTGGCATAGTTTCCAGGCCCTCGATAGAAATTAGACTCAAGCTATTTAAATTGAAAAGAGGATGAGGAAAAGGGCAAAGAATTTGCTTCAATATCTTCTCACTTATTATCATGAAAGAAAGTTCCTTTAGCGAAGGGAAGTAGCACAAATATGTAGGAGAATTTGATGGTAACATGAATTTATCATCATCACCGTCAAGATTCCATTGGAGTTCAAGATCCTCGAGAGAAGGCAGTCGCCATAATGGTGGGAGCTTTTGGCATTTACGACAATATGTGATATTTAGAAAAACAAGCTTGGGTAGCAAAAAGCCAAGATTATCAACCATCAACCAACTTGGGAACCTTGATCCACTATAATTTTCTATTCGCAACCTTTCAATGTTTTGGTGCGGCTGCAGGGCCTCCAACATTATCAGATCTGCTCCAGTATCATCCTCTTGATTTCCGTAATCGAACTCTACGAACAGCTCTCGAAGATGTTTCATTCTTTTCACTACATCGGTAGGTATTCTTTCTCCAATTGCACGGGCTCGTCCCATGAACTTAATGTGTAATCTATTTCTGAGATCAGCAAGGCCCTTTAATTCATTCAACTTATCACTTGCCAAACCAGATATGCGACTTTCTTTGCCTACAACAAAACTTGTCAATGTCCGTAGAGATGTCAATTGGCCAATTCCAGGTGGCATATCTTCCAATGAATAGCAACCATCAAAATCCAAATGCGTGACACTTGCCAACTGCCACAGTCCTGGTGGAATATGGGTTAATGATTGGCACCACGAACACATCAAACTTCGAAGACTCACCAATCTCCAAATATCTCTTGGCAATTTTCTGAGTTTAATGCAATCCAACTTTAAAACTTGTAGATTATGCAACTTCGTGATGGAATTTGGTAAAGTAACAATGCTTGTAGAGGAAATAGCAAGATATCTTAGATGCTTCAATCCACCTAAAGATTGAGGCAGAAATATTATCTGCAGGTGACATAGATGCAGAACACGTAAACATTCAAAACTTGCAAGCATTCTCTCTAACGTTGAATTGCTCATTACATATGCTTCGTACCCATTTAGGTAAATAAATGTCCGCAATTTCATATGCTTCGCATAGAAGGGTTTGGGAAATGCCAATGAACCATTAATCCGGAATAAACAAGAAGCATGGAGCGCTTGTTCTGGGACAATCTTTGTATCTTCTGTTTTAGTGATACAGAAGAAATCCCTATCTGCAACTTCTTTCGCGAGATCATGAATAAGATCGTGCATTTTGCAAAAATGCCGAAATGATTTGTCTTCTTCAGTTTCTTGAAAGAATGACCTTCTTAACAAATCCACGAAATACGAATTTGCAACGTCCTCCACATTGTCTCTGTTGCTAATAGTTGATTGAATGAAGCCTTGAGCAATCCACATATCCATCAAATCAACTCTATCAATTAGGAAATCTTTTGGAAAGAGGGAACAATATGCGAAGCATATCTTTAGATGGTGAGGAAGGTGATTATAGCTCAATCTCAAAATGGCCATGACACTATCGCCTCCTTGTGTGATACTTGACAAATCTTGATTCTTGAAATATATCCATTCATCCTCCGTCCTTTTTAGGCGTAGTAGGCTTCCTACTGACCTTATTGCAAGAGGAACTCCTCCACACTTCTTTACAATTTCCTTTCCTATTTCCACCAAACTCGAATTTTCACTCTCTTTGTTACACTCAAATGCCATTTTTTCAAACAATGCCCATGCTTCTTCTTTTGCAAGGTCCCCTAATTTATGTTGGTGAACACTACCTGAAACTTCCGCAACTACATCTGAACGAGTAGTTACTAAAATCTTACTTCCCTTGGCTCCACCGATCAGCATATTTTTCAATCTCGACCATTTCAAGGCATCTTCGTTCCACACATCATCGAGCACCAGTAGATATTTCTTCCCATCAAGCATTTCTCGAAGTTGCTTTTGCAGTGCATCAAGTTGAAGGTAATTAGCTTTCTCCCCTCCTGCAGATTCGACGATTTTTTCTGCAATCACTTTCACTTCAAAAACGTCTGAAACACAAACCCACAATCTTTTATCAAATTTTTCCTGAACCATTTCACTATTATACACCGATTGCGCAAGAGTGGTCTTTCCTAGTCCGCCAAGGCCAACAATTGATATAACCACAACATTCTCATTTACCTCAGCATCCATAAGAAAATCTAGAATTTTCGTTCTATCATCATTCCTTCCAATGACTTCTCCATCAGGCACAAATGAATAAGTCTCTCTATCCAAATTAGACTCAAGAAGCAAAGGTTGCCTCCTTTCAACAAGGTTTAAGGAGGCCTTATCTTTTGCAATTACATCTAGATTTTCTCGAATGACCTTGAGACGCTTACTTATCTTAACATTATAAAGCACAGGATTTGACTTTGAGAAGAAGATGCTTACCTTATTCACCAATTTTCGATGCGTAACTTCAGTAGCAAAGTCATCCAAGAGATCATCAGCCTCAAAGAAAACTTTTTTAAGTTTCCTTATCCAATCCCTCACCTCGTGGCTACTCTGCTGCTGCTCCTCCGCGTCAATTAGTACAGCTTGGATTGAAGAAACTGTACCAGAAAGCTTGCGAAGCTCATCGCTTAGTCCCCAAATTGATCCTATTTCTTGAACTGAAAGAGAACCCAAGTTTTTCAAGATCTCAGCAGCAAGCTCGTAAAGAATTTCAGCCATGATGAGAAAGTAATATGAATTTGAAGATTGAAAACCTTTTTGTTGCAAACTAGTAGTAATGTAGTATAAGTCTTTGTATTAGAAGCAGCCTTTACCTAACACAATATATTAAAGGGTTGATGAAGACCTTGACTTGGAAGTTTCTTCCTCACTACAAATGTCACAAACTATCCTGGACCCCAAAATTCATTGAGCTCTCACAATGTAATTAAATTTTCTTTCATTATTAGTGTACTTAAACCTGTTGTAGCACGTAACTTGCTTCGTTTTCTAAGTTAGTAAGTTACTAATATGTAACCTATTACTGACAATTCCATGTAAATTTCTCTTTAATAGGTGAACCTATCATGAGGTGGTTAATTTCATTCACCAATTGATATCAATATCAGAAGCGGAGCCAGTATTTGACATTTATAGGTCCTTAACTTGTCATCAAGCACATAGCTCGTTTTAGTTAGAGGGAATAGAATTTAAGGAAAATCAAATCTGTAGACTAATAGACAAACTTAGATAGAAACCAAATTAAAACTATACATTTCCCCCCACACAAACATCAAGGTGGTGGAAATTAATTGAAAAGCTGCAAAGCTATCTCAGCTCATAACAAAAGTAAAAATTTAAAAGAGAAACAAAGATAACAGCCAAAAAAAAAAAACCAGTAGTAAAACAGTGTCCACTGTCCACTTTACTTCAAGGGCTAACACAATCAATCAAGAATCATAGAAATTGAAGCTTCAGAGTAGCAATTCAACTTTTTAAGTGACTCAAATTTCCTTACAACAGAGTGGGAACTCCAATTTCCTTTCTTAATCTCATGGTTTTCACCAATTAATTCAGTTTTTGGATTCGACCCTTTTGAGAAAATGGGTTCAGCACCTTGACTTTGACCCACCTTATTCTGCAACTTTGCAAATTCACTTGTCCAAATATCTATCAGACCACACATATCTCTGCACTTTGCTTTTATGTAGATGTTTGTTTTGTTTTTGATGTTTTAGTCGGGGGAAGAAGAGTTTGAGGAAATGACCAAAAGAGAGATCTGAATTTAGTCGCAAATAGGTTCACTTCTTTTCAAGTGATTGGAGCTAAAACTTTGTGATGGTGTGATATATTTGGGCTATTATTTAAGATTAAGATTCAGTTTCATTGTTCACTACAAATATGTTATAAGACCCTTTCCTGTGGTAAAAATTGCACCAGCTTCTTATTTGGTTGCCGCCCTGTTTAACTTATACTAATTTTTAATAGTAAGACCTCTATAATCATTCACTATAAAAGTCAAGTATCTTCGTAACCGATTTTTTATTTATATTTTAACTCTCTCTAACAACTTTTTAACTATAACAACAACAACCATATTTATAGCAGAACGCTCTTTGTAAAATTACTTCTCTATAATAGCCATATAGAATCTTTAATCTATATTATCTTATTAAAAGGAGAGGAAAAAACCTCTTCTTAAGCCAAGTGACAGACTAGAAAAAAGCCACATAGCATAAATAGTTAATAATTAGTTATTTAGTTAATAATTAATTATTGGTTATTATTTTTGAATTTAAATCTATATCTATATATCTATCTATATATAATAGGAGAGACAAAGACACCATAGTATGCCAAGTGGCAACATAATAAAAAGTCACTCGACAATTTTAGGACAAAGTTAGTTAGGTTAGGTAAATATTAGTTTTTTTTTGAATTTAAATTTTAAAAAATGATATGCGTTATTTATTATTAATAATTAGTTACTTTTTTTGAGTTTGAATTTAAATCTATCTATATATGATATGAGAGGCAAAGACACCATAGTATGCCAAGTGGCAATATAATAAAAAGCCACTTGGCAATTTTAGGACAAAGTTAGTTAGGTTAGGTAAATATTAGTTTCTTTTTGAATTTAAATTTTAAAAAATGATATGCGTTATTTATTATTAATAATTAGTTACTTTTTTTGAGTTTGAATTTAAATCTATCTATATATGATATGAGAGGCAAAGACACCATAGTATGCCAAGTGGCAATATAATAAAAAGCCACTTGGCAATTTTAGGACAAAGTTAGTTAGGCTAGGTAAATATTAGTTTCTTTTTGAATTTAAATTTTTAAAAATGATATGCGTTATTTATTATTAATAATTAGTTACTCTTTTTGAGTTTGAATTTAAATCTATCTATATATAATAGGAGAGGCAAAGACACCATAGTATGCCAAGTGGCAACATAATAAAAAGTCACTTGGCAATTTTAGGACAAAGTTAGTTAGGTTAGGTAAATATTAATTTCTTTTTTAATTTAAAATTTAAAAAATGATATATGTTATTTATTATTAATAATTAGTTAATCTTTTTGAGTTTGAATTTAAATCTATCTATATATAATATGAGAGGCAAAGACACCATAGTATGCCAAGTGGCAATATAATAAAAAGCTACTTGGCAATTTTAGGNTCAAGTGGCAACATAATAAAAAGCTACTTGGCAATTTTAGGACAAAGTTAGTTAGGTTAGGTAAAAATTAGTTTCGTTTTGAATTTAAATTTTAAAAAATTATATGCATTATTTATTTTTAATAATTAGTTACTCTTTTTAAGTTTGAATTTAAATCTATCTATATATAATAGGAGAGGCAAAGATACCATAGTATGCCAAGTGGCAACATAATAAAAAGCAACAACAACAACAACAATCCAGTAAAATCCCACTACTGGGGTTTGGGGAGGGTAGTGTGTACGCAGACCTTACCCCTACCCCAAAGGAGTAGAGAGGCTGTTTCTGAAAGACCCTCGGCTCAAGAAAACAAAAAGACAAAAGGACAAAAGGAGACAATATTAGTATCACCACAACAATCATAGGAAAAATAGGAACACCATGAAATACAGAAGAAAGATGCAAAGCAAAAGCGATAGCTAGTAAATAGGACATACACTGAAAAGTGAAGTAGTAAAATACAACATTGTCACTAGCTATACAAAAACCCTACCTGGCTAGTCCCACAATGGTACGATGTAAGTTGAGACTCAACTACATCCTAACCTACAACTCTAATAATCGACCTCCACATCTTCCTATCAAGTGTCATGTCCTCGGAAATCTGGAGCCTCGCCATATCCCGTCTGATCACCTCTCCCCAATACTTCTTAGGCTGCCCTCTACCTCTTCTCGTGCCCTCCAAAATCAGCCGCTCACACCTCCGTACCGGAGCATCTAGGATTCTCCTTTGAACATGTATGAACCATCTAAGTCTCGCTTCTTGCATCTTGTCATCAATGGGAGCCACGTGCGCCTTCTCCCGAATAACATCATTCCTAATCTTATCTATCCTAGTGTTTTCGCACATCCACCTCAACATCCTCATTTCTGCTACTTTCATCTTCTGGATATGTGAGTTCTTAACGGGCTAACACTCAGCGCCATACAACATGGCCGGTCTAACCACCGCTTTATAGAACTTACCTTTGAGTATTGGTGGCACTCTCTTATCACACCGGACTCTAGATGCTAACCTCCACTTCATCCATCCTACCCTAATACGGTATGTGACATCCTCGTCGATCTCCCCTCCCCTTGGATAACCGAACCAAGGTACTTGAAGCTGCCTCTACTCGGGATGACCTATGATTCAAGCCTTACATCCATGCCCACTTCTCCTGGCTCAGCGCTAAATTTACACTCCAGGTATTCTGTCTTCGTCTTGCTCAACTTGAAACCCTTAGACTCAAGAGCCTGTCTCCAAACCTCTAGCCTCTCGTTAACACCGGCTCGCGACTCATCAATCAGAACTATGTCATCGGCGAATGGCATGCACCATGGCACCTCCCCTTGAATATGGTGTGTTAACGCGTCGATCACCAGGGCGAATAAGAAAGGACTGAGCGCAGAACCTTGGTGTAACCCCATTACAATTGGAAAATGCTCAGAGTCTCCTCCTACTGTCCTAACCCGAGTCTTAGCCCCATCATACATATCCTTAATCGATATAATAAAGGGAACCGACACACCTTTTACCTTCAGGCATCTCCAGAGAACTTCTCTAGGAAACTTGTCATACGCTTTCTCTAGGTCAATAAAGACCATGTGCAGATCCTTCTTCCTCTCTCTGTACAGTTCCACCAACCTCCTAACAAGGTGTATAGCTTCTGTAGTCGAACGACCCGACATGAACCCGAACTGGTTGTCGGATACAGACACTGTCATCCTCACCCTTACTTCAACCACCCTCTCCCACACTTTCATGGTATGACTCAGTAATTTGATACCCTTATAATTATTACAACTCTAGATATCACCTTTGTTCTTATACAATGGGACCACCATACTCCACCTCCACTCATTCGGCATCCTCTTCACCTTAAAAATAACATTAAACAACCTAGTCAACCACTCCAAACCTGCTCTCCCCACACACTTCCAAAATTTCACCGAAATCTCGTCTGGCCCGGTCGCTCTGCCCCTACTCATCTTACGCATAGCTCCCATGAACTCATCAACCTCGATACGCCTGTAGTACCTAAAGTCATGGTGACTCTTGGAATGCTCCAATTCGCCTAGCACAATATCCCGATACCCTTCTTTATTCAGAAGTTTATGAAAGTAAGTCTGTCATCTCCTCTTAATCTGGGCATCTTCTATTAATACTCTACCATTTTCGTCCTTGATGAATCTCACTTGGTCCAAATCCCAAGCCTTCCTCTCTCTCAACTTGGCCACCCGAAATAACTTCTTCTCCCCACCTTTTTTTACCCAGTTCCACGTACATACGACCATAAGCCGCAGTCTTAGCCTTTGTGACTGCCAACTTGGCCTCCTTCCTAGCTGTCTTATACCTCTCCACGCATGCTCGCCTCTCCTTCTCATCTATGCTCCCCACTAACTTCAGGTACGCTGCCTTCTTAGCTTCCACTTTACCTTGAACCACTTCATTCTACCACCAGTCTTCTTTGTGCCCAGCAAAGACGCCCGTCGAGACTCCTAACACCTCTCTCGCAGCCTCCCTAATACAGTCTGCTGTCGTTGATCACATAGTGCTCGTGTCACCACTGCTCCTCCAAGCTCCCATAGCCGACAACTGCCCCTCCAACTCTTGGGTTTTATCCTTAGTTAAGGCTCCCCACCTGATTTTCGGACTTCCTTGAGTAGACCTTTTCCTCATCTTTAACATAATACCAACGTTCATCACCAAGAGCCTATGTTGCGTCGCGAGTAACTCACCCGGAATCACCTTGCAATCCTTGCACAGTCCTCTGTCACCTCTCTTGAGGAGGAGATAGTCAATCTGAGTCTTCGCCACCGCATTTTGAAAAGTAACCAAATGCCTCTCCCTCTTTGAAAAGCTAGAGTTCGCAATCACCAACCCAAAATCCTTAGCGAAGTCCAACAACGATGTACCTCTTCCGTTCCTCTCCCCAAAACCGAAGCCTCCATGCACCTCTCCATAACCACCTGCAGTCGACCCAATATGCCTATTGAAATCCCCTTCTATGAATAGCTTCTCAGTAGGCGGAACCTGGCGCACAATATCATCTAACCCCTCCCAGAAGCGTCGTTTAACCTCCTCATCTAGGCCTACATGCGGCGCATATGCGCTAACGACATTTAGGGTGCACTCTCCAACCACCAACTTAATAATCATCAATCTATCATTCACTCGTCTAACCTCGATCACAGACTCTCTAAGTTCCCTATCCACTAAGATGCCCACTCCATTCTTACCTTTCTGGACTCCTGAGTACCAAAGTTTATACCTGTCTGCATCCTTCGCCCTCGACCCTACCCACCTAGTCTCCTGGACACACGCTATATTGACCCTCCTCTGAGGATCTTCGTCAACTCTATAGACTTACCCGTCAATGTACCTACGTTCCATGACCCAATTCTCAACCTACAGACACCCTTGTTCCCTTTACCTCCCTTGCCTCCCGCCCTACCCCCTAACCCCTGCCCTACCTCCTTCCTTACCCGTTCCCCCCGAGGACATGACCTCACTCGACCATCCCAGACCACAGCCACTATACCTACGACAGAGTAAAGGAAATCACTATCACACACAATACAACAGACCAAACCAGAAGAAGACAAGTTGCAACTACAGGCACGCTAATACGGTGAATAAACTA